AAGAAAAAAAAAGTCAAGATAGATTTTATTGTATGTATGTAAAAAAGATTTAATTTATTTTACTTTGAAAAAATATTGCACCTTTTACAGAAAACATATAAACTCGGATTTTGAACCTAGCTGACATCAAAGTTTCATCAAAGACATCTGCCAATATAAAATTCTGCCAAGTAGTTTTAACTTTATCAGTTAGGACTGGGTTTGGTTGCATATAAAAGAAACTGAATGTGCCATTGTAGGTTCGTCCTCAGTTGAAAAAAATAAAGTACCATTCTGATGAGTGATGTTGATAAGGAGGGAGGCTGTGTATGTGTCAAGGTGGGGGGTATATGGGCAATCTCTGTATCTTCCTTTTAATTTTGTTGTAAACCTAATGCTGCTCTAAAATAAATAATGTCTCAAAAAGTGAAAAAAAAAAAACCCTTAAAATAATATTTTTTAAACCAAGGTAAAAGTTTATTTTTCTTCTCATGTAAAACAAGTCCAGACATAGAAAGCCTAGATTAGGAAAGATGGTTTCACAAATGACACAGACTCCTTCCTTTAGCCACTTTGCCAACTTAGCACATGGCCTCCATGCTCAAGGTTACCTCATGGACTAAAATAGGTTTCTGGTGTTCCATTCATCACATCCAAATTCCAGTAAGAAGGAAGAAAGTGGAAAAAAACCAAAGTGCCAATCGCTGAGCTAAGTTGGCATCGTTTAAGCAGCCTTCCCAGAAGTCCCTTGTAACATTTATACTTACATATCCTTGGCTAGAACTTAACCATATGACTATACTTAACTGCGCACAAGTTTGGGAAATGGATTCTTTTCTCTGAACACATATTAATGTCCAGAGTGAAATCCAAATTCAATTACTAAAAAAGGAGAGATTGGGTGACAACTCACAGTCTGTGTCACATCCACTATGTTATATGTGATGTTTTTGTGGGAAATGTCATGCAGCCATTGAAAATAATGAATGAGAGCTATGCCGATTGACTTGGGGTGTGTGGCGGGGGAGGATTTTCACAAGGATTGCTGGGTGAGAAAAGCAAAAATGTATAAAAGTGATAAAATATGATTCCATTTTTGAATAACATAAAGCAGCAAAAATCTCTACGTATATTTATGCAAATGATATACAAGTATATGAATTTGGGAAATTGCTGAAGGATACTCAGTAAGTTGTCAATGTTTTTTTTTCTGGGCAAGGAGAGAAGGGATGAATATCTTTGTGTTGTTCCATTGTTCCACTTGTTACGATAGGCATTTTTGTAAATGTTTTAAAATGTTTTAAAAACCTTTTAAAATGTTTTAAAATGTGGAGCAGCCTCCAGATCCAACCTTCAAAACACTGCCTGCCATATATGAAAATTCACAGTAAGCAAGTCCAGGATGGAGTCTATCATAGGGGATCCTAGTGAAGAACTTAGGCCCTCAATACAGTTTACCTAAGTTGTTTTAAACTATTTATTTAGGGAAATTATTTACTTAGAACATGTGTTAGAGAGTCATAGTTAACCTTTAAACATGCAAGCGCTTCCTTTTTTCTCTTCCAGGGATGGCATCCAAAGGCATTCAGAATGGTCCAGTGTTTGACCTACCATCGTAGACTGTCCTACATTACAGCCTCTAACAAAACTAGGCTGCCCAGAACCCCTGGTAATAGAATCATTTACCTTTATACCAAAAAGATTGGGAAATCACCAAAGTCTGCATTTTTGGCCAGGCCAACTTCGAGGGGTTCGTGCTGTGAGATCTAAAGTCCTTATGAAGTTGTCTAAAATGAAAAAAAACACGTCAGCAGGGCTTATCGTGGTTCCACGTGTGGCAAGTGTGTTTGTGACAGGATCAAGCGTGCTTTCCTTATTGAGGGGCAGAAAATTGTTGTGCAAGTGTTGAAGGCACAAGCACAGAATTAGAAAGCTAAATAAAAAAATGAAGCTTTTTTTGAGTAAGAAAAAAATCAAAAGGAAAAAAAATGTGTTAGCTACATAATGTTAGAAAGAACATTGTGTTCTTTTTGAACTAATGGATGTTAACCAATGTTTATAAATATTTAAATATGGATGTAAGGCACAATAATGTCCCAATAGATCTTTGTGAATTATCTGGAATACTAACATTTATGAAATTAAACAAAATAACCTTTATGAATTATATTTAATGTTTACCTATTTAATTCCATTTAGGCCATGAATCTTTCATGAAAAAGTCTTGTTTGGGAATTAGTCACACCTTGCAAGAATAAATCATTCTGTCAACTTGGCCTCATCAAAATTTCATGAAGAAAAAACTTCAAAATCATGTACAACAAATCATATTATAAATTATATTTGATCCAGACATAATAAAGAATATGAAGAGCATGAAAAAATAAAGAAAAATAAATTAATTCCCTAGCTACCTGAGCTGAATGTCTATTTGGCATGGAAAATGTCCAGTGTAGTGACCTAAGAAAAAAGCTAGCAGCTAGCAATGCTGAGACACTATTGTTCCAGCACTACAAGGTCAAAATTATTTTCAATGACTAACAATGATATCAAAATAATTTTTAAAGTAAAATTTCAGATTTAAATTTATATCTAAATAGTTCAACCAATAATGGCAATATTTGTCTTCTGCCTTGGTTGTGGCCAAATATTGATTTTCTAATACTAGGTCATTGACCATCAGACCAAAAAGTATTCATTGGAAAATATCCTAGTGGATAAACAGTGATGCTTGACTGCAAACCTCAGGAACATTAATATGCATAATAAGGACTTGGGAAGATTGTAATAAATGTCACTTCCTTTCTGAATAGTATCCCTATCCCTCAATACATGTTCTGAGCCAGAAATGGGCATTTTAAACAAGCAACAAGAGCTTTTTCTGCATGTCTCAGGATCATGTTTTGAGAAATACTGCTGTAATAGAAAACTCTGTTTTAGACTTGGTAAACGCTGTTATAGACTGTTTTCATGTTTGTGAAATAAAGATCTGGTATGCAAATGGCACTGTCATATACATAGAGCTTGGAAAGTAATTATGCTGTAGTTTAATACATTAAAAACAACAACAACAACAACTAGAATAGGACTCACATCTCTATTCCTGCACCACATTTTTCTCCCTAGTTAACCTTAAAAATCAAACCAGTTATTTTAAGCCAGTTATTTCACCAAGTAAAAAGATGGCGTTATTCAGGAATAGCAGACAATTGCAATACCAGACAAGTGAGCTGCAGCAAAACTACAGGCAAATCTGGGAAACAAAGAGGTACTGCTCTTTTATAGAGATAATCAGGGGGTTTGAAAGACTAGTATAAACAAAAAGTCCAATGGAGTAAACTGAAAACTTGTAGTGACTTCTCATTGGCCAAGTTGTGACTGTCTCTCATTGGCTAGGCTGTTGGTGGGGCATTGGATAAGGAAAGCCTTTCTTCCTCCTGCTGAAGTAGTAAAGTAGCATCCACCTACAAGGTCTGTCTTTTCCTGTTGGGTCTGTTATTGAATAAGAGTAGTGGAGTGTGAGAGTTCTCTCTGCCCAATTTCCCAACTCCAGTGTAGTGAGGTTTCTCTTTATTATCACAAGTGAAATATGACCAATGGAATGGAGTTGGTAGATAAATCTGTGAATATTATTATTATTATTATTATTATTATTATTATTTTTAACTGTTTTGCAAGACAAGGCTGGTATAATTTCTCTGTGGTGGGAGTATAGCTGGGGTGGGGAGTTGGCATGCAGGAATAAAGAAGAATAAAACTGGAAAGCAGTGAGTAACTATACTCAAGAACCATGAATCCAAACCTATAATAACACATGAGAGCCTCCATTCCTAAATTTATTTTCAGTGAAATAAAAGCAGCCATCTAAGTGACCTTGTGCTGGGAATCAGGACATGAGAATCATTATAGAATATCTTAGTTCCAATTCCATAAACCTGTACCTTCAAATAAAACCCCAAATGCAAATAATACATCTCAATCACTTTGTAAATCACTTTTCTCTATTGGTTCTTTCTCTCAATCGTTAGCCAAAACTAGATCTGGGACGGATTCCAGGCCAGGACAAAAATGCAAAATTTTATTCTCCCCATTCTTTGATTATCTTGCTCTGAATTGAAGCGGATGCTTGGCAATTAGCTGCTGGGGAACAAATTTTTCTGATTAACTCTTCATTAATTGAGTTGACCAAGTAACTTGTAAACTTTCGGTCATCTTTTTCCCTTCCTGTTACTGGAGTCCAGTGTGTAGTCTTCATATATTAGAGACCATAGACATATAAAGGGTTCTTAAAAAATAGTCTAGTCCTGCCAACCAGTTTGACAGTGTGGAACTGAACCCAGCTTTTTTGAATTGTTACTCAAAGTGAAATGGCTTGGGTTAGTGACAGAACTCGGACTCAAGTTTAGGGATTCTGACACTTAGAAAACGAAGCTCTTGAGCATTTTTTCCTAAAACACCCTGTGTACGTGATTTAGAATGGTCTTAAGGGGCGGAGATGCAAAATGGTGCCATCTTCTGCCCTAAGTTTGGCACTCAGGAGCAGTAGTTCGTATGGAGGGTGGGTAGCAAGAACATTGGAACTGCAGGAAGCCCTTAACTTCAGTACTGGTTTCCAGTGATAGTCCTAACACTAAAGAACCACGTGCCCTTAGCAAACGTGCTTAACTTCTTCGAGGGACGGCACCTAGGACAAACCTGCTCAGTCAGACGGAGTTGTCCAATTACTCTGATCCCTTTCCTCTCCCCACTTGAGAATTATAAACACTAAGGGGAATAATATATGGTAAATCACTTAGAATAATGCCCGTAGCATACTAAGGTTCCATATTCTCGTTGATTATTATACTGCCAATCTTTGGGAGGCGGACCGCACACAGGAACACGCCAGACGCAAGCACCGCCCCGAGGGCGCGCACCTTAAAGCGCGGGCACTGCGAGTGAAACGCGCGCTGGTCCGGGCGTGACGTAACCAGGGGCGGGCCCGGCAGATGGGGGCGTTTGCTTCCGGGGACAAAGGGGCTTTACTTCCGGGAGGAGCGGGTGGTTCGGGTAGGAGTTTTCTACCGTCCTAGGTCTTGATCCCGGTAAGCCAGGCATGAAGATCACGAGGCAGAAACATGTCAAGAAGCATCTCGGCTTCTTCCGCAATAATTTCGGAGTTCGCGAGCCGTACCAGATCCTGGTGGACGGTACCTTCTGTCAGGCGGCGCTGCGCGGCCGTATCCAGCTGCGGGAGCAGCTGCCCCGCTACCTCCTGGGCGAGACACAGCTGTGCACCACCAGGTGGGCCGGGCGGGTCCGGGGAGGAGGCCCGGGGATCCCGCGGGTGTGGTAGAGGCGAGGCCACGACGTGCAAACCGCCCCACCCACGAGGAGTTGACAGTGAAGTGGAGGCACTAAGGAGGTCAGGCGAGTGCCTGCGATGTAGGTAGAAAGTACAGTGCCCTGCAAATATTCGCGTCGTTGGCCTGGCAGATAAGACCAGTGCTTTGTAGTGCGACCGGGCTTCGAATCAAGGTCCCAGCCCTACCAGCTTTGTGATTTCCTGCGAGTTAATCTCTGGGCCTTGGATTTCTCATCCGTAAGGAAGAGACCGTAACTAAAAAGGTTGCTGTAAGGATCAAACGAGGTATAGTGTATGTACGGCACTTGCTGGTGTCCCAAACCTACCCCCTTTAAATGGCAGCTTTTTCTAGTGTAAATGAAAATTTCTCAAGCCTCACAACTGCCCTGTGCGGTAATATCTTCGATTCCCAGAAAGATAATTTAGAACTCGAGGTTAACCTTTGCCCATGGGCATGGGTTTATGCGGTTGTCTTTACTAAGTACCAGCCATATGCCAGGCGCTGCTCTAGCCACTGAGGATAACTTGGTGAGCAGGACAAACTTCCAGCCCTCATGGCCAGTAGAGTGCAGAAGTCAGCCTCGATGGGTGTGTTGTGACTCCCTCAGTGTGGGAACGCTTAAGATGGAACCTCCTGGGACGCCTGGGTGGCTCAGTTGGTTAAGCGACTGCCTTCGGCTCAGGTCATGATCCTGGAGTCCCGGGATCGAGTCCCGCATCGGGCTCCCTGCTCAGCAGGGAGTCTGCTTCTCCCTCTCCCGCTCCCCCTTCTTGTGCTCTTTCTCTCTCTCACTCTCTCTCTCAAATAAATAAATAAAATCTTTTAAAAAAAAAAAAAAAGATGGAACCTCCTGGAGATGGGAGGGAAGATGGAATCATGGAAGGTTTCATAAAGGAGGTAACTTCTGAGCCCAGTCACCTTTTGGTTCTGAGGGGAAGGACTGTTTTGAGTAGAAAAGAGAGAAGTGACTTGTGGAGCCTCTTGAATAAAGAAATGGAGCTGTAAAATGCCTGGAAAAGAGGTTAGAGCACAGGATATAATTGGAAGTGAAGCTGGAAAGAAGTAAATCGAACTTACAACATGAACTACTAAGGAACTTAGGGGTTTTCCCCCCTCATGGTAGATTATTTACTTTAAAAAAGTAGAAAAGGAAAATTAAAATGACCCATAATACCACGCCAATGAATTACCACTGTCAACGTGCTGTATCATCCATCCAGTTCTTTACGTATACACATGCACACGCACACACAAACACAGGAATGGGCTCTAACTGGGCACACCGTGTCGTTGGCCTGTCTTCTCACAGAATACTGCTTCATGAACAGCTTTCCATATTCAAGTAGCGCCTCAAGATGGTTATAGATACCCCACAATTTTTTATCCCCTTAGCCTTTAGGGCTGCCAGACAAGTCCTTAGTTGGCTTGTGCCTGGAGTTCATCACTTCTGGCTACACAAAACCTGTTCATTTACCCCTGTGTGCCATAGAAATATTAACATTTTTAATATAGTGCTATAACAAAAAAGCTTGGAAAGTACTGCATGAAATTACATTCTATAGCAATTTTTCCCTAAAGAATTTAACTTCCAGAATATTTTATACATACACAAAAGTAGAGTAATATAATGAAATGTCTATCACCCAGCTTTGGAATTATTGACATGGCCAGTCTTGTTTCATTTACCCACTCCCTCCTTCCCCCTGCCCACACACACACAGCTTACTGATGGTTTGTTTTAAAGCATATTACTCTGTCAGTTCTTGGTGTGCATCATGAAGATAAATGCTATCAGACCTAACAGCTGTCTTTTAGAAAAGCTAACAGTGTGAGGGCTAAGTTGGAGAAGCAAGAGCGTGAAGGCAGGCAAACTCATTTTGTGGTTGTCCAATCAAGAAATAATGGGAGCCTGAACTTCAGAGAGGAAAGGCAGGAACCCAAGGGTTCTGCAAAGAGACATTATGAGCTAGATAGCAACAGCCGAGATAGGACTAACAGCTGATGGAGTAGGGGTGGGGGTAGGGGTGAAGAAGAAAAGGTCAGTTAGGATTTCTGGCTTACACCCAGCGTCTGGGAAGCTCATATAGTCAAAGAGAGAGCATGCCCTGGAGGAGAAGTTTGGAGGCAGGGAAATACTTCGATTTTAGATGTGAATTTAAAGAGCTGATATACATCTACAGGAAATATTCAATAAATACTTGGCAGTTTGGGCCTGAAACTGAAAAAGAGTTCAGAACCGATGACTAGAAAGCAAAATCTCTTCTTAAACAAAAACTAAAGGGATGATAAAGAGAGTGAGGCAAGGTAGAGTCTGACAAGGGCTGGCTAGAGCTTAAGAAATTTTTGACTCAGTACTTATAATTAATTAGTTCTTTCTTGCTTGCTTTCTTCCTTTCTGTGATGGAAGAAGTGCCTGGGGAGCTTATTAAAATGCTAATATTTGGCTCCTCAAGAGGTGCGGATGTGGGGATGAGAAAGGAGTAGAAATTAATGTGATTATCATCACTATGTCATTTTGATATGGATAGTTTTTAGCTGACACTTTGAAAAACACTGACTTAATATGAAAATGCAGAGTGAAAAAGGAAGTTGTGATTGTTATTAAACTGGTGACTTGAAAATTTTTACTTTTCTGTACTGAAAATAGTTTAAAGGTGTACCAGTTTGTACTTGAATTAGAAGCATATAGCGGTAAGGTTGGGGCAAGGCATCTGTTGTCAACTACTTGGATTCACATTTCAGCTCTACCACTTATTAGTTGTGTTTGAGCATGTTGCTTGAAATCTCTCTGAGTGAGGTGCTCTAAAATACGGGTAATTTTCAAGTAAGGTGCCTAACTCAGGGCTGTTTGAGATTTAAGCAAGAAGTTATGTAAAGAGCAATTAGCATGCTGCCTGACACATAGTAAATGCTCAGTAAATTTTAACTGTGATCCCTTCTACTCAATGGTTGTATTTTCCAGGTTTTTTAAAGAGTGAACTGGCCGCCATATGATTGGGGCCAACACATGACAAATTCAGATTGTAATGGTATAGTTTTACTTTCTTAAAAATTGGGTATTTTTTTAATACTTGCTTTCTGTGAACAACGATATGTATCTGTTATAATTGTGAGCTGTTAATAATTTTTTTTTTCCAGGTGTGTGTTAAAAGAGTTAGAAACATTGGGAAAAGACTTATATGGGGCAAAACTGATTGCACAAAAATGCCAAGTCCGAAATTGTCCCCATTTCAAGAATGCTGTGAGTGGATCAGAATGTCTGCTCGCCATGGTTGAAGAGGGAAATCCTCATCATTATTTTGTGGCAACACAGGTGATACTGCTTTTAAAACCAGAGTCAATTTTAATCATTTCTATCTATGTTTCATATGGAGCTACATATAATCAGAAAAAATTAGGTGGAAGTGCTTTGTTAAAATGTCTCGACTTTTTAAAATGCAGGCTTTTAAGTTAATTTGCAGTCAGTGAAAGCAGTTGTCATTGGAGAATTTGAGGAGAGAACCTTAAGCATATTGATTTTTCTTCTTCCTGAAGTTTTTTTTTAAGTAAAATTATTGACAGAGAGATGTGATTGTATGTTTCAGCGTTCTTGAAGGGAAAATAAGTAGAGCAAAGATTTTATATTCTGTGTTCATCAGTGTTTTCTCATGTTCCTTTATTTCATATTTTTTCCTCAAAAAGTCATGTTTCATATTATTTGAAGTAGTGCTACCAATATGGAACTGTTTCTGACTTTTAAAGACCAGGAGGGGGAAAGAGAGACTCTCAGTGTTGATATTATCGAATGAGTTCATGTATATACAGATTTGCTTAAATATGCTTTTAGAATTATAAAATCACACGATTAGATGCAGAGCTGAATCTAGAATGTGAGTCAGCTAATTCTTACTTTATTGCTATTCCTACAACCTCTGTTAACATTCTTAACCCTTTTTGAAGCATGTCTTAGAGTAGAAACATGGGACATTGCCTCCACATATTTACCATTGCCTTAGTTTGTAATTTGTGGTCCTAGAACATTGATAAGTGTAGTTCACATTGTTGCCACTTAACTGTGCTCAGATTTCATCTTTGTCGTCTTCTTTTTAAATTATAAAGTATATTCCCGTTAGTGAGACATACTGATTTGAAAAGTAAAATTTGTGATCTCTTTTATTTTTACTATTTAAGGCATCTTATTTAATTGGCATATTTGAACTAAACAATTCTATTTTTCCTTTCAATAGGATCAGAATTTGTCTATGAAAGTAAAGAAAAAGCCTGGAGTTCCTCTCATGTTTATTATTCAGAACACTATAGTCTTGGACAAACCTTCTCCCAAAACTGTTGCTTTTGTTAAAGCAGTGGAGTCAGGTCAGCTTGTCTCAGTGCACGAGAAACAAAGTATCAAGCAACTCAAAGAAGAACAGGGTTTAGTGAAAAACCCAGAACAGAGAAGAAGAAAAAAACACAAGAAAATAAGTGGCCCCAATCCTCTTAGCTGTTTGAAGAAAAAGAAGAAAGCACAGGATCCAAAATCACCTGCCTCTGAAAAGAAAAGAAAAAGAAAAAGAATCCGGAACAGATCTACCTCAAAAGTACTTTCTGAAAAGCAGAGTGATAATGAATGAATTCCTTGAATACTTTTAAAGACATTCAAATGGGAAAAACAGATTTCTTTTTAAAACTGTGGAAGTACTTACAATAAAAGACTGTTATTTTTATAAATAAATATTGACCCATAAGCCTTTGCCTAAAATTATTTGTAGAAAGAAAGAAAGAAAAGAAAAAAGAAAAGAACAGAACAAACCAGGATGGATGGGTTTAGGCATTCTGGAGATTATTTTTCAGTGTAAAACTGTTGTCTCTTTCTGTCTTACCACTGCCCCTACCCCCCAACATTACATGCAAATAGTGTAAAAAAATCAAATCATACAACAGAGGAAAACATTCACAGAGGAAAATTTGTTACTTAATTCATGTAGCAGTTGTAGAATTTATATTTCCAAATAATATGAGTATGCTGCTACCTTTTAGTCCATCTATTACTTGACTTTCTTTTAGAAAGTGGAAATTTTGCTTACTTGTATGACTCCTCCATTTTTCTAATATATTAATAGTTCAGTCTTTATACATCCCAGATAAAGTATTTGCATTATTATGACTATAACCTTTGTTCCCCACTGAACCAAGTAGCCATGCTATGATTTATATAAGAAATTTATTTCTTATACTACTTTGTTGTTATTCCAGAAGTGAATAATGTCCTCATTTTCTTTAAGCATCTGACTTGGTTTTGCCACCAATAATTTTGTAAAGGAACTTACAATTTTCTATATGATAATATGGGATAATTCCTCACCCCTCGAGATACTTCTAGAGTCCTCTGTCCTCCAATGTAGAAAGGTTTTCTGCCCCATATGTTGCTCACCTGTCATCCACACACTTCTTGCCCTTATCCAGAAATTTGCTTTGTCATTTGTCATTTGCTTTGTCTGTTCCCTAGATTCTTTATTTTACTCTCTTGGTTTTCTTTTTTGCTGTAGTGAAGCAGGGATTGTGTAGGAAGTACATTTTTTTGAGCCCAACCAGTGTTAGCCTCATATTTGTTGCATTAATAATTTAGCAAAATAATTCCTTTTTAAAAAAAAATTTTTTTAAAGTGATCTCTTATGCCCAACATGGGACTTGAACTTAACAACCCTGAGATCAAGAGTTGCAAGCTCTACTGACTGAGGCAGCCAAGCTCCCCTAGCAAGATAATTCTTGATTAAAGATTTCACTCAGTTCCCCTAAAGAGTCTCTTAATTGTTCATAGGGCCCTAGGGGGAAAAACAATTTTTTTGAGTTCCATTTGTCCACTAAGGAGGATGATTTTCTTTAAAAGGAAATGCTAAATTCAATAGCAAAAATTCCAAAATAACACTCTAAGATTGGCTATGAATGTTACTTAAAAGGTGTCTAAAGGGTCACCAGAATTATAACATTATGTAGTATATACATTTTAAGTTTTTTAATAAAATGTCTAAAGGGCTAATTATATTAGGAATTGAATAATCAAACTTGTCTTTTTCAGCCCTCTCCCCAATTGTTTGAGTTACTCATCAGACCAAAATTGCAGTGTGTCTGTGCTATAATATTGAAGTATAAAGTTGGAAAAATGGGAATCTGATGATTAGCTCCTGACTTTGTGCTGCCTGGGACACCTTTGAGTAGTGGTTCTGAATCTATCATTAGGGTTTCACAATCAGGTATGAAGTACATCATGAACAAAGTCTCGTAATGGCTAAAATAAATGATCTTTCTCAAATTTGAGACCATTTCCATTTTCTACAGAAATATTTTCAGTTGAATTAAGAGATGCTTTTTTGGGTAGAAAGTGAAGTTATAGCCTTAATTAAGCACACAGGGGGGTGCCTGGGTGGCTCAGTCGTTAAGCGTCTGCCTTCGGCTTGGGTCATGATCCCAGGGTCCTGGGATCGAGCCCTGCATCAGGCTCCCTGCTTGGCAGAGGCCTGCTTCGCCCTCTCCCACTCCCCCTGCTTGTGTTCCCTCTCTCGCTGTGTCTCTCTCTCAAATAAATAAAATCTTTTTAAAAAAAAGTACACTAGGAATAACACACAGGTTGTGTTACCTAGCAAGCCAGGTTAGGGCTTGATTGTCATTTCATGATTCTGTTTTAAATACTTAAAGGAACATTTTTTAGAAAGAAGGCAGAGATACTGGGAAAAAGTGAATATAGCTCTATAGTTTCTGTGAGGGGAAAAAAAATTGTCAAGAATGATAAAGAGTTAGGGGGCGCCTGGGTGGCTCAGTCCTAAGCGTCTGCTTTCGGCTCAGGTCATGATCCCAGAGTCCTGGAATGGAGCCCCGCATCGGGCTTCTCCCTCGCCCACTCCCCCTGCTTGTGTTCCCTCTCTCGCTGTGTCTCTCTGTCAAATAAATAAATAAAATCTTTAAAAAAATAAAAAGAATGATGAGAGTTAGGGGGCACCTGGGTGGCTCAGTCGGTTAAGGGTCTGCCTTCAGCTCAGATGATGATCTCGGGGTCCCTGTATTGAGCCCCCTTCGGGCTCCTTGCTCGGTGGGGAGTCTGCTTCTCCCTCTCCCTCTGTGCCGCCACCCCTCCCCCATGCACTTGTGCTCTCTCTCATAAATAAAATCTTTAAGAATGAGAGGATTACCAAATCAAATGTAGACAAAGTGATAAAGCAGATGAAATGTACACTGATGATATTTTCAATATGCTAAAATGAATAAATTTTAGGCATTTGTCTTTTTAACAAGGCTTATTGTGACTTATAATAAGTATATATATATATTTGGTTTTTGTTCATGGTTGTTGGCTCACAGATCCCAAAACTGTTGGAATTTCCTAAGTGATGAGAGTTTAAAGGTGTCTTTTATGTTAATGAGATGGTTTTGAAAAACATCTAAGGATGACAGCTGGTTACCTTTGGAGCCAATCATGTGATTAGAGGGTTGGAACTTTCAGTCCCCACCCCACCCCCAACCTCTGGTGGTGTGGGGGAGTGAGGGGAGAATGGTCACTGATTTAATCAATCATGCTTATGTACTGAAGCCTCTATAAAATCCCACAGGGACAGGGTTTGGAGAGCTTCCAGGTTAATGAGTGGAGATCGGGGAGAGTGACCCACCTGGAGAGGGCTTGGAAACTCCTACCCTTTCCCCATACCTTGCCCTATGCATCTCTTCCATCTGGCTGTTCCTGAGTTATATCCTTTTATAATGAACTTGTAATGTAGTAAGTAAAATGTCTCTCTGAGTTCCTTGAGCCACTCTAGCAAGTTAATTTAATGGAGAAGAGTGTTGTGGGAACTTCTGATTTATAGCCAGAGGTCAGAAGCATGGATAACAGCCTGTATGGGTCTGAAGGGGGCGGGGGGCAGGGGAGGTGGCAGTCGAAGTACTGAGCCCTTAACCTGTGGGATCTAATACTATCTCCCGGTAGATAATGCCAGAATTGAGCTGAATTGTAAGATGCCCAGCTGGGCACTGCTTATATGTGTAAGGTCTAAACCCCCAATACGCATTGAAATTGGGTCCAGGAAACCAAAATATTTATATTTATTCAGTGCTATCTGGTCACCTATTAATAGTGTCTGAACTGAAGAGCTAGAAAAGTCAACTTATTTTTATAAAATAGCAATTTTTAAATTAAAATATTAAAAATACAATGTATTAGAATAATACATTATTTAATATTTTAAAACTGATTAGTCATATATATTTATATATTTATAAATTACTTTTAAAATATTTTAACAAAAGGATCTCATATCTTTGTACAATTCTTTTGTGAATAGTACCCTCCTAACAGCACCCCAGAAATCCTTAGCACTTCTTGCTTTTCTCCATACGACTCAGGGAAGGGCGCATGGCACCATGGGAGTGTATATATGTGATTGCAATCCATTTTGCAGGTTGGCAAAAAGAAAATGTTGAGAACCTCTGCTTTAGAGGGTAGCTACCAGCTTTGTGGGGATAAACGTGAAGTCCATGTGCTTTTGAACTCTGAAGTTTGCCAGGCTGAAAAATAGTGTTTCTGAAAACCACTGTTTTTTATGAACACTTCAAAAAAGTATTTGTAGTTGAGTTTGGGCAGAAGTCTGTATTCCCTACATTTTTGAAGCCCTACAGCCATTTCTCATCCCCACAGGTATGTAAATTAAAACTAGAAGTCATTTCAAAGCAGCTGAGTTTCAAAAGTAAAATTTCCTGTTTTCTATTTATGCATAGAGTTAAGAGTAATTTATGTCTCTGCAGCTGGTAAAGCAAGTTGTCTGTGATTTGACAGGTTTAAAGAATAGATTTTCATGGGTGGATAGGATGAATAGTTTGTATTCTCTAAAATGTTTTAAAAATATGTCATACTATAGCTTTTCTTAAGAGTTCTTAGTTTAGATGTAGATGAAAAAAATACAATAACTTGGTATAACTCTGTCTATATATTTTGAGATCCAGAACTAATTAGGAATAAAGGCAGAAGAAGTGTCTGGACTGAGCTTAGGAAGTGATTTCTTATATGATCCTAGATTGGTGGCCTCTGAATTTTTAATCATACATCCTTGTCAGTAAAAGAACTTCTGTGTATACCTGTAAATGTATGTTTATAAACTACATAGGTTTACTACTGTACATTATAAAATATACACAGGAAAAAAAAACCCAAAATGTAAAGGATGGTAAAGATAAAAGAAATTATTTTAAAATCTTTGCCATTAGATGGCTTCATTAGGCTAATATTTTAAGACATAAGTTTTATCAATAATATTAGATATGAATCCACCAGAAGTACTTTTTACAATTACATTTTTTTGTGAGATCTGACTAGATCATTGGTTTTCCTTTATAATATTTATGATAGTGTACTAAACAAAAAAAAGAGTGTACTAAGAGTAGGATGTCTCAATACATATTTGTCAAATACGTGAGAATGAAGTCACGTCCATCAGAAAGGATAGCCATAGCCTTTTATCCAGTTTTCAGACCTAAATGAGTTCAGAGGCCCAGAGCCTTTCAATTTAAGGGGAGGCTGGGTTCTTTTGAGCAAAGAAAATGAAGCGCTGCTGTGAGATTCCCTGTGACCATTTTCTTTTTTTTTTTTAAGATTTTTTATTTATTTATTTGACAGAGAGAGACACAGCGACAGAGGGAACACAAGCAGGGGGAGTGGCAGAGAGAGAGGGAGAATCAGGCTGAGCGGAGAGCCGGTCAGATGTGGGGCTCGATCCCAGGACC